TATCGCGTATCGAAGTTGCGATGGAAGACCCGGGTACAGGTATTTGACATTAGATGACGGGTGTCATGCCTTGAGAGATGGACGTAGGAGATGAATATGAGCCACAGATTACAAATGGGTATTCTGAGAACCAAGCGCAAAATGCAGTTGTTGGCTCGAAGACCGTAGTCTAGTAAGACATGCAGAGTGTGAAGGAGATATCTGGCAAGATTGTGTCGCGTAGCAAGAAACAACGATTATGTATAGAAGAGAATAGATGCAATGCGTGTATGTAAATAAGCAAAAGCATATGACGATACCGCCAGTGATGTACAAAGGAAAAGATGTAGTGACGAGTAAAACAAAGACCAATGAGAATGCGCCCCTTCCGACTCTGCCTGGGTATCGTTTCCTTCTCTTTCACTCCCTACACCCTTGTTGTGTATCCGGAACGCTGGCCGACTCTTTCTCAATGCCGTCCATGTCAACTCAAACCTCCAACAGCTCCCTGGATGATGTGATACCAGCCCGAGCCGTCTCTTTCCCAACGCCACCGCAATGCTGGACTCGCTTGGAATGTGTCGCGCGTCGAAGGAATAATCGTTCGTAGTATCCAAAGTATGCAGGTAATTTGTAAAGGAGTGTGTATTGGAAGAGGAAGGGTATACCGTTGGCCCAAATCGTGGTACGTCGTAAAGGAAATGTGTTTAGTGATTAGGAGGCTGGTGTGTGCCCCAGAAGAGTATTGCAAATGCCGAAATCGACCACAGAGAGGCAGGTTTGTGTCCAGCACAAACCCCGCAACACTGCCCCCCTTCCGCATACGCGCATGCTTGTTGTTCATATTTTTTGTTCTCACCATGCACGCAAGCCCTCGAACTGGCCAGCCAGCCCATCGCAGTTAGAGTCGGCCAGTCATTGGTAACTTGCGCCGGGATCGCTGGGACCAGCTGCCATCTGAGACGAGGAGTAGGCACCCTGGTGTTGATGTTGTCGATGTTGTGATTCTTCCTCCTCCTCTTCCTGCGCAGCCAACTCCACAGCCTCAAGTGCCTCGGCCTTGTCCTTGCACGCGGCGGGCGAGAAGCCACTGCCAACCTTCGAGGAGATGATGCGCCATCGGTCGTTCTCGTACTCCTGCATGGCGTTGCGAAGCTTTACCACCTGTATTGCCGGTTATGGTTAGCATGTCGGAGATTGTGGATGCGATGCACGACGTCGCGCGTTTCATGACTAGGGTTGCGACTTACCATATCATCCGTCCAGACAGTGGTCTTTGCTTTGAGCTTCGTGCAATACCGTACTTGGAGTGTGCCAGAACTGCGGCCAGGGAAGAAGTCGGCGATTTGCTTCCATGTGAGGTTTTTCTTCTCTTTGAGGTCGACGAGTAACTGGTCGTCCTCGGGCGTGAACTTGAGCTTTGGGCCGCGGGGTCGTTGCGCTGGCGGGGGCATCCCTTCTTGACCGACTACGCTAGGAGGGCCATGGTGTTGAGCGGGAGAGGGAGGTTGGCCCTCCATCGGGTGATGTCTCTTACTGCGATGAGTATTTGGCAGATGGTGGTGATGTGTGGGAGGTAAAGAGGACTGTGGAGCGGGCGGCGGATACTGTTGAAGGGAGTAACCCTGGGTCGCGTGTTGTAGTGAGACGCTTCCCGTTGCTTGTGCGTAGGGATTGAGCTGCTGCTCTAAGCTCGGAGGCAGTTCGTGCTGCAAGTCGTCCTGGTGGCTGCGCTTGCGTCCGGCGGTCTGCTGGGGCGGCGGTGGGTAGCCCACGTTGTAGGAAGATGGCGAGTGTTGCGACATGGAGTGGTGGCGCAGAAGATGGGGTTGATGTAATGAATGTGTGTCGATGTCTGTGTAGGTAGGGTGGTGGCCGGCGCCGGCATGTTGCAGCGTTTGAGACTGGTGTGGCTGCAGGAAGGAGTGAGGGTGGTATCCCGGAGGCAATCCGGTATGGGAATGGAGGACATTTTGATGTTCGACGTTTGAGGTCGGTATGTGATGTTCTTCCCCGGCATCGCCTGGTACGCTGTAGTCGAGGAAAGGGCCTCGATAGGGACTCGCCAGTGTTGCGATCACGCATGGAGACTACCAGAGCTAGGTTGCTCTGGCAGGCCGCCGCAGTGAGACCTGAGCCAGAAAAAGGATGCCTGGTTTGAGTTGGTGTTCGGAGTTGCGATGGCTGTATCGCACGCGTTTGGGTATTTCGAATTTTGTTATATTGACAAATGTTGGAGCAAGAAAGGCCTAGGGGAACGCGCCATCGGTCGAGGTCTTATCGCGTGTGTTAAGCGTCTGGGTTGTCGAATATAGGTTGTAGCCTTGTAGGGAACAAACGAAAAGTACGTATGGCTGGGGATGCTCGTGGAATATAAGATTCCTGCCTGATGGGAGAAGGCATTAAAAATCTCGGGCAGTAGGTCCCTTCAAAAGCCCGGTCCGTCTTGTGCGATTGCCACACGGACACAGGATCCAAGCATGTACAGCAATGGGTCGTCCCCACGAGACGCTCTGTTCCTGAGGAGCACCAAATGAGCTTAGTAGGGAAGGCCCAGGAACTGATTCTACGTCAAGCATAATGCGGTGATCAATGACAAGGAGGGGTCCCCCGGCATGCGATCTGGACGAGTACAATGCTGCCAGACGTGGGTCGTGAGTGGCTGCTGATGCAAAATGAGATGGGCATGAGGTACTGTGCCCGGCTTGCGAGGGTCGGTGGGGCCCGGGGCGTGCGCGGTCCATGCCATCGTCGTTTATTTCTAGAATGCCGCCAGAAAGATCTCCAACGCCGTTGCAGGCGCTGCAGGAGGGATCCTGGCGCAGCGTGGTGGCCAGGAGATGTGCATTGAAGACGTTCTGAACCGGCTAGCAAGACGGCAGGGGCTCGAGGCGATTCCCCGAAGAGGCAGCGCCACGAGCGAGCGCCGTCTGCCAGATTGATGAGACACAGTCTACCAGACACGGCGGAGCCAGGAGCGCGGGAGAGGTGCTCGGGTCATGCTCGGAGGCGAGTGCTTCCAAACGGCCTGGCAGAGGGGTGCTGTGACAATGATGGCATTTTTTCATGGCATCTCAATGGCATACACGCCCGGTGCCTCAGTCGACGGCACTTCATGCCTGGAAGAGCCTTACCCGGGCTCAGGGCCCCATGGAGCATGATGGTGCTGGCGAAGAAGCGGTACTCGGATCAGGGCAGGACAGCTGTCGATGCCGGCATTTACGCAGCCGTAGCACCCGCCTGTAAGCAGTGGGACCGAGCGATGGCAGGGCTCTCGGTCATGGTTCTCTAACGCATAGGCATGACGGCCTCAGATTGGCTCATGCGTGGGCCGTTTCAAGGTATAGAGTCAGACCCTGCCCTATATGCGCTTCGTCACCCCCCATGAGTTGGGATCTACCAGCCACAGAAATATCCCGACGCCCGCATTGGATGACGCACTTCGGCCTGCTGCAGACGCAGCGGGTGTACGGAGTGCTGGTGGCAATTAGAAAGTATACCTGAGACAGCAGCCAGGTGTTTGAGGAGGGCGACTGCGTGAGGCGTTGTGGGGAGAAGGAGCAAGCGAGGACGACAGCGGGCTCGCCTGAGTAGCGAGTTCCCGATTTTAGCGTCGACGTCGAATCGCAGCCGGCCGCGATCTTCTGGCCCGCAAGCCTCGCATACAGGTCATCTCTCGACTGCATGGGCGAGATGAGGCATCGCGAGTCCAGTGCGTCGTGCCGCTGCCTACACGGTCGCCCTATGTGCGCCACGACGGATGCGCTCGCCGAAGAGGCAACCGCATCCTCCTGGCGCGCCCTCACCACCAGCCGCTCTCACGTGACGCCTTCACGACAGACGCGCTCCCCGGCTGGAGGCTGGGATCTCCCTGCATCTGCAGCCCTCGCTATGACCTCACCGCCGTCGCCATGTACGACTTTCAGGCCTAGCGATAGTCTGCCAATCTTCAAGTACTCGACCAACGGCGCATTATCCATTTAGGCTGATGCACGCCATTGCGAACTATAGGCTCGCGGAACTGCACGATGCAGCCCTCACCACGCTCCGTCCAACAGACCGCGCCCTTCACCGCGGCCACGCCGCCATGTCATCTGGCCTGCGTCGTGAGCGGAGCGCGTGCAGCGCATGTACACGGTGAGTAGAAGCGCGTTGCGGCGCATTGTGGGCGACCAAGTTCCCCCGACGCGCAATCTACTGTCGACGTTACGGCACGGCTTCGTGCAAGCGCGTCGCGACCACATCGCGCGCCCGTTGATATGGTTCGGTAGCATAGCCGGAGCGTTCGTCTGGGACTATGGGTAACTCATGCCGTTACACGTGGGCGTCGCGACTGAGATCGCCCCAACGACACCGTTGATCGCACGAAAAAGAAAACAACGATCGTCCTCTGCGCCATGATTGCTACACTGACGGGAAAGGCGCGTCGTCTATGTGTGCTACAAATAGCCAGGCGGATTCTGCCGATCTGCGTGCGGCAGTAGGTGAGGCGGAACGTTGAGATGTGGTGTGGCGAGGGGTTGAAACATTCAACGAACCGCTGCAGGCTGCCGAAACCAACTCTCCCAACTGTTCGTTGACGTGAAACGATAACACAAGCAAGATCGGCCAATCGCCGCTTCGACACGCAAGACTTTGAGATGCTCCCCACATGCGACAATCCGTTATGGCATGGATACATTGCCGACTATTGCTAAGTAAAGACATTCGACATTATATCCAGGATGGAAGCTCCCTCAGGACTACAACCAAATCCCGAAGCGAAAGGATGACCGCGGAGAAACACAATAACATTGGTCAGCGTTGCCGAAAACTGCTAAGCATCTTTTGGAAAGAGAAGGCGACTAATGCCTTGTGTACTCCGCTGCCGAGAACCACGTCCGGAAACACCAAGAAGGACGAACGGATGCCCACAGCACTTTTGCGCATGCGATGCTCGATCAAGATAGGAAAGCTGGTATCATAAGCGGGCCCCACCGCACTAATTCCGGAAAGATGCAGACTGTGATCATGAGTGTCGTTCAGTACTTGCCGCCAAAATTCTCCTTTGCGTACTGCTCGCATGCCTGGTGCACGTCAGTACAAGCTCATGCACGCGAAGACTACGTTCAGAGACGATCAAGACATACTTTTGCAGGCTTGCCAACCTTCTGACCGATGACTTTCCATTTGTTGGCATCGTATTCTTTGATGGCGGCAAGCAGCGCGGCGCTCTTCTTACTCATCAGCACACTCTCAGAGGGACGGAGATATAGCCTCTAACTCACTTCGTCCTCAGCGAACTCGGCATAGTGCATGTCCTTGAAGGTCAGTTAGAGGGTCCGCAGTGGAACAGTACTGGTCGCATGCCCACCTTGTACCAATGTTTCTTTACACTCCCTTCTGTCCGCTGCGGGAACGTCTACCAAAGGCCAAGTCAGCTAACTGTTCTCCGGGAACACGGCAGTTGTCTGATCCGGCAAGCGCCCTGCTCACCTTTGCGATCTCGCTCCAGCTATTTCCAGCATCTCTCATTTGTTTTAATCTCAATTCCTCAGCTGGCGTCCAAGGCGTATTTGTCCGACTCTTCTTGGTCTTGGGCTCCTGTGCAGCATCGACATCAGCCGTGGGTGGCAACACAGCACTACTCGCTTGCGCCTCTGCACTATCTGCAGTACCTGCCATCTGTTCCTGGGACTGTCCGAGGGTTACAGACTTGCGCTTTCGGCTCGTAGGAGATGGCAGTGGCGGTTGAGCGCCAGTGTGAGCCTCTGGATTCGCCGTGGTGAATGACGCCGCTGGCTGTAAACTGGGCAGCTCTGGCGGTCCAGAGTACTGAACGCTCGGTTGGGGGTTCGCTGCAATGGGCGACGGTTTCAGGCTACGCTTGGTGGAGGGCGAGGAGCTGTCGGGGGCCACAACGTCAGCGCGCGCGGCAAGGTACCGAGTCGAGTAGGGGAAGTATCTCAGAGTCGCAGAATGGGGACAAGACGAGACGGATATAGTGGAAAGACTCACGACATGGCGGCAGACGGGGCGATAAGACCTAAGCCAGGCAGGCGGCAGCACGAGACAGCTTCACTGGGGAGAGCAGGATGCGCCTATAGAGTGTAGTGTCATGCTCGTATATTACAGCTTCAGGACCACTTTCAGAGGGTACGACGGCCAGACTGGAGGCAGTAGATCATCATGATATCCAAGGAAGCAGATGGCCTGTCGGTGCGAGCGCTGATCAAGTACAAGGGATACAAAGAGGGTCAGGTTGGCAGCAGACGGGCGAATGGGAGGAAGGCATAGGCATCATGGTGGAGGACGAGGGCGACGCTGTGAGGTTAAGTGGCCGAATGCTAGCGGGGGTCGGCGCCCAAGATGGGGAGGGCAAGTACTAGTACTTGCCCGCTAGTGAATTGAAGGTGGTGGTCGAGGTATAGATACGCGGGGACGCGCTGCAGACAAGAAGCGGGGTAACAGGCTCTAGGGCCCGGCTCTGATGAACAGGTGGCTTTGAGGTTACGGGGACAGCGCGACGAGTGCTTAGAGGGCAGCGGAGGTAGAGTGCGCAGCGCGTGACTGCTCCATGCGTGTCCAGTGCAGATGCGAGTGATGCGGAGCGCCCCCGATCGGGTGTCGCGACATGATGACTGTGTATACAGACAGCCACGGCGCTGGCGGAGTAGTGGGAGCGACAAGCGCATGTTGTCATGAGTGTCATGGCGATTCCCATGCCGGGTCGAGTAGAGTGACCCCAGATCAGGTCACCGTGGAGTCGCTACCAGGCCAGATGGCGTGCCGTAGTGGTGACGAAGTTGCTGGCAGCTGGAGCGGGGCAGCGTGCATGGACCGGCCGCTCTTTCCTCGAGTGGTGCTCGTGCCTTCCAACCTCATCATCGGTCAACAACACAGCGGGAAGTCGCCATGGCGAGAGTCGCACAAACACGACCACGTCAGACGGCTGCTCTGCTCGACAATCTATCTCACGACCGGCCGCTTGACCGCCAATGGCGCCCTCACCACCACAGAGATTGTGCTGCTATTTAGCCCGGCCTCAGTCGTCGCCGAGTGCGAGCCATCCCTGTCTTCTCCACACGGCCACTGCAGCAGCGGCTTGCAACGATGGTACCAAACAAGGACCTCTTGCGCTCATCAGCAACACCGCTGGGCGCGGGGAAGAGGAGTGAGGTAATCGATTCGCTGCTGCCGGACCGTCCTGAGTACTTTGCTCGCCGTGGGCCTGGATGCCTTTTCAACCCAGGCTCCGCTCCGCATTCAAGCCAAGCTCTTTCTCCAGCCGCCTGACGCAGCGCCAGTATCACTACAAGCCACAAGCGTTTGATCAGAACCGCTCTGCCACAGCCTTACCACTTACGACCTATAGCAGCACACATGGCCTGCCAAGCGCTTCGGCCTTACGAGTTGCCTGACGTGTTGATGCTGTAGGCGGAACACGACCCATCCGAACGTACTCGTTTCGCCTGTCTCACAGCGTCGTCATCTGCACTCTTGTGTGTTGCGAATCATCTCCACTCACCGTCTGCTCGGCCCTATTCACATGGAGCAGATTCGTAGCAAAGTGTCTGAGGCATCGTCGTTGAGAAGTGCTTCAAAGCTCGTTGCCAATGTTGTTTGTCTCTGCAATGGGCGACCGCCGGCGCACAGTCCCCCCCGCAGCCTGTCACAGCACGTTCTGCGTTAGCGCCCGCCGTCGCTTCGGCACTGGTCGCTGCTTGTTTCCAGCTTTCCAAACATTGTCAAACCTCGCGCTCCGTCAAAACTGCACCAAGTCCGACGCGCGCGGTTTTGAAACTGTCCCCGTGGGTCCCGATGAGGCTGAGGACATTATGCATCCCGCTCTAGATCTTCAGAGCCCCAGGCAGCGATTTCGTATGCGTCTTCATGTCCGTTCCACTTCCGGCTTAACATGTCTCGTGTCAAGGTTCTTCTAAACATTTTGGCTGCGAACACCGTCTTTGCCCCATGATGCCGATCAGGAATCGAGTTGCAGAAGCGACGGTTTGAAAACGTTGCCAATCTCAGAAACTGCCACTGCTAATCGACCTGGTCTGTGACCACTGACCGACCCGTTTCTTGACCTCTGTCCAAACTCTATAACTGCCCGAGTGCCCCAAGTTTCGAGGCTTCAACCGCATCTGTTCAATCGGCATCTGTCTTTTGTTTTTTAGCAGCCTTGTAATACTCTCTTTTACTTCCCACTGGTTTGGGCTGCACTACATTCACTTAATCAACTTTACCAACATTGCTGAGCAATTACTTTTTTACCGACACACCGTGTAATACTTTCTTTTCAGAGCCAGCCTCGATCACAACGAACAGACATCCCTAGTGGACACGAATCAACGACTTCTTCTACGCCAAGTACTCCAATCAGCAACATCAACATCAACATACTATCAGCTCAGCAACACAACGATTACAACATGCTTCACCACCAGCCCCAGATTCTCTCCCCTCTTCCTGAGATGAACTCTCAGTCTCCTGACCCTTCCAGCCTCCGCGCTAGGAAGATGTCAGCCGGTGGTAACAGGTCTTGGTCCGAAGAAGAGGTATGTTGACCAGTTGCACTCATCACCATCCACCATATACTTACAATATCTAGGAGAACTACCTTCTTCAGACCCGCATGCAAAAGATGCCTTACAAGCACATTGCAGCTCACCTCAAGAAGACCGAGCTTGCATGCCGCCTGCACTACCATCAGCTCTCGCACGGTAGCCACCGCCGCAAGCGCAACAACTCGGTCTCTTCCAACGCCTCTTGCAGCTCTTCCGGTACTGCTCCGGTCTACTCCATGACTATGGATCAGGACGCGTACTCTCAATCGTCCCGCCACAGCTCGCCCATGAGCTACACTGGCAGTCCCCATGTCCGCGCCAACTCCATCACCACCTCTCCCGGCCGCTCCCAGCACAAGATCCTCCTTCCCAAGCCCCGCACCCTTACTCCCCGTGGATCCCCAGAGCCTTACAACGGTCTCCGTATCAACACCGAAGTGGCCCACCAGCCCAAGATCGTTGACACTGACCGTCTCCGCTCCATCTACGAAGCCCGCCGCCAACAGTTCTGGGCTACCGTCGCTGCCGACTACGGTGCGGATGTTTCCCCCGCCCAGCTCGAGGAGATCTGGCGCAACGGTTCCAACGCTGTCCGCCCTCCTACTCCGGACGCCTCGCCCGATGGTAGCATCATGCACAACCCCATGTTCAAGCCCTCCGTCTTCCCGAGCTACATCTCGCCTGCCCACAGCGAGCCAGCCAAGCACTACAGCCCGATGAACCCCATGAACATTAGCGCCGTTTCAGCCCCAGAGCGCATGCCTTACGTTCTGCCCATGCCTGTCCCTTCCTCTGGCCGCCCAAGGGCTGGTACGTGGAGCTCTGCGCCCAGGGACAACATGCCCATCGCCAGCCTCCTCAACGACGATAGGAAATAAATGTCCATTATCATCACATTCCTGTACTTGTTAGATCACTTCCTGGGTCGTGGCATTAGGCATGGGAATGCGGTTATGGCATTGGCAAATGACTCTTTCTCTCCTCTTCTCTACTTTCGTTAATTCGCTATTCAATCAACCCTTTTCTTCACATTACTGTCTTAACGTCCTCGGTGGTATATGTCAAGAGCGGTATGGTTTAGCATGGCATATGAGACACTTGATGTTTCGGATCTTTTACTCAGGCGTTCAGCATTTGGAATTTTGGTCTTGGCGCATAGCATCAACGGGTATCTGGGCGCTTCACTTTTTGAAGAGTTTTGCGGCATTGTTCTACGCGGTAGATGGTAACGGTAGTCAATACAGAAGAATATCCACAGTACTAGCTCATATTTCATATTGCTCAAGTCACTTCATCATGGTATGGAATTCCAACGAGCATACCCTTGACGACCACATGTTCCTGACATTTCGCTTACGCGTGATGTTTGCCGAATACAGGCGGTTAAGCGAGCATGTCAAACATGACTTCCTCTCCTTTACCTTTTGCGAACTTCCTCTTGTCCGTAGTATTACTGATATCATATCAAAGGCATGTTAAGACACTTGAGTCTTGAAAAGATGAAGATATTCGCAAAATCTCGAGTTTGGCCACGGCATCAACGACAACGTGACCCTTTTCCACCTTCGCACTCGAGCACCCTCGACCTTGCGCACAATCAACCTCTTACTCACATTTACCCGCTGATGAGCTGATTCCTCGTCCAGATAACTAATCTGACAGCGGCAGCCTTGCTTCCAAGGCCCGCCCATGACATCCAACCCCAAGGCACAGAACACCACATCACGGAACTTACCAAGCGAACGCGAACGCGCCTTTGAACCATCTGTTCTTTTCCAACTAGCATACCGTTGCAATCGTCGGATGATTTCCTTCTTTGCCGCTGCCGTTGTCGCTGCCGTACTGGTACCGGTGGGTGCGGTGAAAGCCTGACTCGTCGCGTGTTTGGTAGGTGAAACGTTTGGGACCGCACTAGTTGCTCTTTGCGCGGCACAACGGGTTGGTAACGGCGGGCGTGGGCGTCAGATGCACCTGTCAAGATCGTGTGTGCGTGTAGATGGCGATTTCGCTTCGACGATGTTCGCACACGGCGTGCTCGGAGTGCGAAACGGCAGAGTGGGAAGTTGACGTTGTGTTGGTGGGTTTCCGCACACGTAAGCAGGGGTGCATGCAATACACGCGGGTGTGTCGTCTTTGGCGATGTGCATATAAACAGCCTCGTCATAGACCGGAGTAGGACCATTGAGAATTCCAAATACACAACCGTCTTACTAAGAGACGCGACGGGTTTGCGAGAGCAGAGAGAAAACTCGGCATCCCGTGTTCCTATTCTCGTTCCATGCTGGTCTGACGCTCGACCCCATGTCAGCCCTGCGCATCTCCCGCCCATCCCGCGAACGTCATTTGACTCGCATCCCACCGATCCTAACGCACAACGCCACAGCCCGTCCATCCGTCCAACTAGACTGCATCCCAGCCATCTACAAGTTACCAGTGCTCTGTTGCTAATTTCCCGATATTCATGCCTTGCTGCCTTACCCTTCCTCCATGATCCCTTTCCTGTGGTCCCCCCTGTAAACACGCCATCTCATCGACCAGAGATCCTCCCTCAATCCCCACCACTCCCCCCTGGCTTGGAACCAAACGAGTCAATTTCCATGTCCCCGGTCAGCGCATATGCCGAAGTCCTAATGCAGATCTACGCTCCGGCAAGTGTCAGGGATGTGCGTTGGATTCCGGTCCAGTGGAGTCGGTCAGGGTCGCGTTGGCGGTATTCATGCGAACTGGGTTTGAGACCTGGTGGGGATCTGTGAGCGCCTTAGTTTCGAGGCGCATAACTGTGGCGTGTGAGCGATGGATGCGCGCGATGGATTCGCTCGCATGCCTTGTAGGGCTGATAGAATCTGTGTATGCATGGCTGAGGGGGGAAGATGACGTCGCAGGCTGAAGCCGTGGGTTCGGTCATATCCGCGACATGCATGAGTGAGGGGTTCTGGAAGTGTGACCGAAGGTTTGCTGGTGCATAAGGCGATAGGAAAGCCTGCGTCGGTGTAGTCGCCTAATGCGTGTGTAACGCGTGACTCCCAAAGGATTGTGTCGGACCGTAGAGTCGTTGGGTCAGCTGACTCTCGTGACTGTATCAACGTAATCGTTGTGGCTATCTGGGGTGATGTTTGGCCGACAGTACTCCCGAGGGGACCACGGCTGCACTGTGCTTGCGGCCCTTCTTCATCAGGGGTTGGACTCTGCGACTGTCTCTCCCGCCCCTTCCTGACCAGCCTCGTTGTCCGGTTGCGACCCTCTCCTGTCTTCGGGATCTTGGTCGCCCTTTCCACCATTCTTTTGTTGCTCGCCACTCGATTCAATGTCATTTCTCAGCTCTGCCTCTTCTTGTGGGTTCTCTGTGCCCCTCGAGCTGTACTCTTGATCCATGCGATGCATCAACTCTTCGCCGGGTAGAAGAATGCTTCTGTCGATCGCCAAAGGTAGTCCACGATGTCTACCACGTAGCATAGCAGCCATTAAGACGACTTTGCTCAAGCTTGCAAAGTCGCCGCATAGACTGGTGTTTTTGCCCGGTACACCGAGGCTCAGTCCTACGGTGCCATACGCCGATGTGACTTCGAATAATATCGAAAAGACGCTGAATCCCGGAGATGCGTTGAGAATGTGACCTCGCTCAATGATACATATGAGAAAGAATACAAAGAACTGGAACCAGATGTCGTAGGCGAGCTGCTTCTGCAAGTGTGATGCTACGCCAGCAGCACTGCTGTCGTTCTCTTCCAGTCCGATCGATTTCTCCTCGTACGTGTTCGTCTTCCGCAGTACCAACGTCATGGGGTAGATGGAGATGTACATGATGACTAGATAAGCCACCAGACATGCAGGTGCCAGCGAACTCATGTTGATGATGTATGCGCCGCTAGTACGTAGTCCGCTGGCCATGAAAAGTCCGTCTACTACTCTAGCGCCGGTGGATAGAGCTTCGACATCTGGCATGCCGATGTTCAATATCTCGAAGCAAAGCCAGGCAGTGATGTCGATGCCCAGCTGAACAAGAAAGAGGTATACCGTCTCGCGCTTAGGGAAAAGGTATATGAAACACCGTCGCGGATGCTGTAGAAGGAATTGCATCGTGTTTCTGATGCGAGACTCTTTCGGCAGTATCTTCTTCAACACCCATATCGTGATGCGGAGTAGAATCGGGAACTGCGTCTGACCGGCGAACGCGAGACATGCAGCCACAAGCAAAACATATGCATTGCCACTGAAGGGAACGAAATTAGCGTTGAGCACGTTGAGTCCACCGTTGGAGAATTCCGTCACCGTCGCAAAATATGCCCACCATCCTGGGTTGATGGCACCGGGCTGCTCTTGATACAATGTACTCTTGGTATCGTCGCGATATGCGTACGGTATCAGGAAAGTGATACCAAGAAGATACCAGAAGATCTGGTAGCCGACAAGGATAAGCAACAGAGCTTGGAGTGCGCGATACTCCACACCCCCAAGTTCCATGCGATCTTGCTCACTGAGCTCGCGGAATCGACCCTTGGAGTCGAGATGCGGCTTGAAGGAGACGTAGTCGTGTTTCTCGGGTTTCAACTCTGTCGAAAAGCGGTCCAGAATGCGGCTGAAGAAGTTGCGTGCGGACTTCATCTCCCAAGGTGTTGGTATGAAGCCAAATCCGGTCTCGTAGTGATATGTGCGTCTTCTAGACTTTGGATACATCTTTGCTTGCGGCGGCTCCTCGTTCTCTTCTCGTACATTTTTTCCTGTCTGGCTTTGTTTTGCATTCGGTCGCTGGCGCAAGCTCCCGGTACTGCTGCTGCTTTCGTTTTGATCTGAATGGCTGTTCTCGATATCTTGCACGAGTCTTTGCATCGTGTGCGAATGTTTGACGACATCTGCCATCTTTTTCCGGAATAGTGCTCTTCTGATGAGTACCACAGCTGTCGATACAAATGGTATGTTGCCAATCATGAGCAGCACGGCGAAGGTCGCTTGCTGGAAGCCGGACATATCTCCGAGGTCTACCGAATTGAGCCCTGCATCGATTAGTATTCGGCTCACACAATTCCAGAGGACGGGGAAGACACTTACCTGTAGTTGTCATAGCACTGGTGCATAAGAACAGCGCGTCGGTGTAAGTCACATGCGCATCTCCATATTCTTTGGGCCCATCCGCAAGACCCTGCCCATAAACAATGACCGACGAGATCGCGATAACGACAACGAAGTACAGCATATGCGCGCGATAAAAGTTCAACTTCAACACCTCCTCTTTCAAATACTTCAAAAAGTCATCTTTGGCCTGACGCGGGTTGCGCAGCTCCTCAAGCGGGTCGTGCATCGCGTCGTTGTCGTCGAGCGGCAACCACGACGAGCTCATTCCGGCTGCCAGTCGCAATGTATATACTTTGCGGTATTTGTCCAAGACGCGTACCAAGAGAAAGCGCGGATCAACGTGGCAGATCTGGATAGCGCAACCTTGTCAGAAGTAGGCTGTGTTTAGCTGCGCTGCCCAGGCATTTTCGCGAGGGATGATGTCACTGACCCTCAAGCACGAACCTTATCGCGCGTGGGGAACGACGCATCATCGTGGACGCGACAACATTGATCTTCAGGTCCGCGGCGTTCTCAATTGGTTTGCTGTACTGAACGGTGAGTAGCTGGCAGATGGTAAGTTGTTTCCGTGCCGGTCCGGAGATGTTGTGATAAGAGCCTGGATTTGTCGTGCGATGAGGTTCGTCCCTGGCATATTACTGGGATCATCCATATCGAACTACATCTGATGGCTTATATGTGCGTTGTCACCGCCCCCTACGTTGCATTCTGTATTTCTTGTTATGATCTCGAAATGCTGGATGAGCACAATCCAATCGTACGTTGGAACGCAGTATATGGAAAGACACGTTGTGATGTTGAACTGAAATTGACCAAGAGAAATGTACCTACTAAATCTATGAAAGAACTACTTACCCAAACGCGTGAACTAGATCGACATCACATTGCGCAAAACACCATACTGGAGTTCCACCACCACGCCAATACACTCCTACTCTGAGCACATAACAACTTCACCCTCCTCAAACACCACACCCTTCTCCCGCATCTCCTTCTCTTCCTCCTTACCAATCACCTTCCCCTCTCCATTAACCCTCTCAAACACCACCCCCACGCGACTCAACTTGAGATGACTCCACATCCTCGCCGACTCACTCCAACCCCCCAACGCCCCAAAACACGCACTAATCCCCACAATCTGCTCTCCACCCACCGCCTTCCTCACGAACCAATCGCGCATATCCGGCTCCCCAAAGTAGCCAACCCGACCACTCTGCGTAACAAGTTTGAGAGCGCGGTACTGCTGCTCGACATGGACTTCAGTGATGTCTTCCTGGTTCAGCGGGAAAGTGACGGTGTTTTGTATTTGGTAAGGGTGTGGACCACTGCCTGTCTTATTCATATCTTGCCATGCGGCTTTGAGGGATTCTCGGAGAGGCTCAGTCATGTCGTGCGCCCATTTGGGGGATTGACATAGGACGGGTCCGCGACGGCCGACCATGCGGCCGCGATTACCCCACATGTCATGAGGGCCGGGGTTGATGCCGACGATATCGATACCGGTGTGGAGTTGGTAGGACGGTGACGATATGTTGGTCGCAGGGAGGGAGCTGGGTAGAGCGGTCGAATCGTGAGGCATGGAGATACTCGTTGCAACGGGCTGAAAGCATTCAATACCTGTGTTTTTCTTGTTCCACATGAACACATCGTTGGGCATCATATCCTCGGGGAGTTCGTATGGTATGGGGTGAATGGGAGTGGGGAAGGACTCGAAATGGATCGTAGGATGCGCCCAGACTGAAGCCTGTTGAGGATACTTTTGACCAATACGATCGTAGGGTAGCGATGATCCAAGCTTTCCCCATGCCATCTGCTGAGCAGATGCATATCGCGGCTGAGTGAGTGGTGCTGAGTCCGGTCTGCATGCTTGAAGAAGACCGAGACGTGAGATAGCTCCATTCTTGCAATGAGGTCAGTAGATGCCTGTAGAGTAGCGCAGACGGCTGCAGCATTTGGCAACTCACCGAAGCAATTTGACCCGTCATTCCTACTAAATGCATGCCATCCAACACTTGGAACGGCCTCCGTACACCAGCGTAACTCTGGTGCAAGCCTTTTTTTCTCCCACTATTCAGTGTCACCTACTTCTAATTAGTATAGTTTTCTTCGGAGATGGTGAGCCCAGCGTACAGAGATACCGCTGATCATAGCAGTCTTGGATGGCCAAGGATCCTCAGGCTTCCCATGAGGCCCGGTCTGATTCACAATATCTTCGATACAGCAGACGATCTCCTTGATCCACTCCCCACGATCAAGATGAAACGGAAGTCCAGTAAATCCATCAGAGCTGCCAAAAAGTCTTGTTTGGTCACCCAAGGTGACGGAGATGCCCACTAAGTAGTCGTGGCTGTTGTTAATCTGGCGCCAGTAGGTGTCCAAAACGCAAGCACGATGAGTAATCTCATTCCAAGAGTGAATAAACTGTGCCGAAACGGTCTCGGTCTGAGCTGGCGGGGGATACATGGTCATGGGCATGTGCAAGCATACGGAGCTGTCTAGAATCGCCTTTGCTTCGTCCGAGTCTGCCGGCTCAGCGGGCTCGACCGGCCCAGTTGCTTTCTTGTAGAGCGAGGCTACTGGCTGGCAGCAGCCCCAGATCCGGCGTCGATTTGCTATGTGCATGAGGGGTCCCTGGATGCCGAACCTGGGACGAGTCGATGCATCCACCCAGAGAAAAAGACCTTTGTAGTCGAGCGCATCGGTGGTCGCAGTCTCCACGAAGTAACGCAACTCGTAGAACCATGGCAATACACGCATGCGTACCATATGTTTCCAGAATGCGGCTTCGCGAGTGACGCTGTTGACGTGATGCGAAGCTTGCATGAGCGAAAGCATGTCTTTGGAGTCAACATATCCAAGGATTTCGAGAAGCAGGTCGTACGGGAGGACTGCAATTGGATCCGTTCGCACCTTGTGCGCTAGATTTGCCAACTGCGGACTCCCACCGAAAATGTTGGCGGGTAGGATGTCTTGTATACTTTCTTGGAGAGCAGGTCGGGGGGAAGGATCGCACACTTCATACTCCGATCCCGCTCCATTATGCCAAAATTGCTCGTTGCCCGAAAAGACCTGATAGTCCACATCCAAAACTGGTCTTTCGTTTGCAAGAAGAGCGCTAAACGTTCTCAACATCACATGCTTATCAATATCTCTGCTCTCAAGTCCTATGCTCTTTGCGAGAATGTCGAAGCATGCCTCGTGGAATGGAAAAGCTTGTTGTTCGTCCCCACTCGCGTAGCTCGTGATGTTCAAAGAACCTTCGCCCGGATCATTGGGATCTCTTCCAGGCCCTTCGATATCTAGAGAGCCATAGTCGTAGTAGCGGCCTCTACCGGATATGTAGGCTTTCCGCTCGGGATTGAGTGCCAGTGCGCGGACCCGATTAATCCATTTGACGTCGTCGAGTCCGATGAGTCTAGGATCAAAACTGTTGTCCTCAGTGTTCTCGGTACTGGCATAATTGTCAAGACCCCACTCATCGCTAATGTCCAACTCGGGATCTTGCGACCAACTTCCATCATCGAGTTCTTCCACAGGCCCAGGCTCGGGGGTACGGGGTCGAAGAGCGACGTCAAGAATCTCGGATGATCTCGTAAGTAAGTCGGAGTCGTTGCTATCGATAGATTTCGTGTCGTCCGAAGAAGAATCCGAGGAAGGTTCGTAATCCGAATCTGCATCGTCTTCCTCCTGTTCTTGCTGTTCGATGCGTTGCTTCTCAACGGCTTCGGGGTCGATCGCATCTTCCATTTCTTCGTCCTCATCGTCACTGTAGACAATCCCGCGTCCCACCTTCTTCCCAGTACGTCTCCCCATTCTTATATCCATCACGCGATCTCGCTTGCGCAAAGACTTGCCATTTCTCGATCCAATCCTGATGGCACCAATGTTCATGCAGATAGAGCATAAGATACAGTAACAATCGAAGGAGCCCATGATGAATGATAAAAGATGAATAAAACACAAGCTGGTATCAGAACAGAAGGTTGGAACTCGAGCTCTTATTAAAAGAAGCTTGTGGAGTATCTAGGGCGGCACGGCGGGATTATGGGGTCTTCGGATTAGGCGTGCACCTTTGGTGCAACGCCACCAACCCCACTTTGTCCCAAAACGTGGCTGCAGCCTTGCCATCCCTGGACATGATCTAGGCATCCCAAGGCAACACCGCTCAAACTGCATCATTCACATACTAGTTCATTGCGCAAACCAACATGGGTTAGTACTTTCCAGAAATGCATTCGATGCCACCATCCATCCAACCACAACCCGTTACCAGGCTAGAGACACGGGATAAAATGAAGGCCGCATTGGGGTAATTCTATGATGGGATGCAGGTTGAAAAGCATCCGCCGCCGCAGCGTTTCTTGGATTCTTTCAATTCGAGAACTCTATAGATAGGATCGTGAGCCTTGACCCATGACAACAAAAAGAAAGAAGATACCAGATTACGGTAGTAGGTATCGATAGCGGAGCCAACGAGAGCTCGGAAAAAGAACTCACGATTGTGCATCATGGAACTCATCGTCCTCCTGAGTCTCACTATCGGTCCTCCGCAGGAGATCGTCCTTTCGTGGCTCTGGTTCGGGGTTGGAATTAAGGAGTTTGCTGGGAGGCAGTTCCTTGGCGAAGGCCTCACGGTTCTCGGGTGAGATCGCACTAGGTTGCGAATAGGGCTTTTCGAGAGGTGGCATAGGTGGGTTGCTAGAATTGCTGGGGATGCTGCTGTTTTTGAAGGGCGGGGCATGAGTCGATGTTCCGTCGAAGTTGCTGGGAAGACCTACGCTCTGCTGTTCGTGTTGTGTCACTGGTTGCGACTGCACGCTTGTAGGCTCGGACGGTACTGGCTGCAACGTTTCCGTAGACTGTGCTGACTGTCCAACGGGTACTTGTTCCGCTGGTTGTACAGCTCCTTGTGCCTGTGGTAGATGCGCTTCACTCGCTCGCGATGGGATGTTGAATTGTTTGTCTGGCTTCTGACCCGGGAGGATCGCGTAGATCTGCAGGATCTGCTTGACGACCTCGTCAGGCGTCTTGCCATCACTACATCCTGTTAGCACGAAACGCATACGGAGAGTTTGCAGGGTACTGACATCTTAGCATTGATGATCCAGTCGAGGTCTTCTTCGCCCTCTTCGCTGCCGCCACTACCGCCCTTTACGCGTCTGAAGAGCTGTGGGTGCCAGTCCACGCCCTCGCTGTTTCTTTTCGCAGCTTCCTGTCTTTGCATGTCTTCAATCTTAGCCTTGGCATCGGTTGCGACGTCCTGATCTCTCCGCTTCACAGCCTCGGTCACATCGTGCCAGAGCTTTTGCGATTCTCGGTCGTTTTGTTCCTCGAGAGGCCGAGCCGACGGTGGGGTATGTTTGGTATGTGCTGCATCGAACAGGAGCTCCTTCTTGCCAGTCTACAGATGGTCAGTACATATTCTGACCTTGCAAGAGTGAGAACCTTACTGTCAGATCCTTGATGTACATCTCCTCGTTCCACTGACCCGAGAGCTCGTAGAGGTTCTTGCCGCTGGAGTCTTTGATGTAGCCACCGATAGCGTTGTAGGACCCACTGAAGTAACCCTTGGTCTTGAATTCGAGATCGGCAGTGAGACCGGTCTCGGGGCAGCGAATGTATGCGTGGTCGCCAAGCTCGTACTTCATCGTCCCGAAGAGGATACCGCGCGCGTACATGTTGGGTTGAGTGACGAAACTACCTGTCGTGAGCCTCAAGATGTGGTGTTCATGCGCTAGACTTACAATCGCTCGCCGGTATTTAGTAGCCGCAGAACTGCGATGCCCTCCATCATACTCGCCGCGGAGTTGCCGAGGAACTTGCTTCGAGGCTTGAGGGTGCCGTCTATGCGGATGTTGTGCTCCGGGGCCATGAAGAAGTAGCTCGACTTGGGCGGGTGGTGCGACGTCTGTTCGGAGATGTAGTAGCCCTTGGTGCCGTCCGGGTAGTCCCAGTAGCCTGTGAAGATTTCACCCAGGATGGGGTTGAGCGGCTTCTTGACTCCCCTAAGTCACATCAGTTGTTGCTTGTGGGCGCAAGAAGACGGCGGATATGCATACGGGGGCTTGATGTGCCAACCACTCAGGTAGAACTTTGTCACTGCTACGAATCGCTGTACGGGGTCTTCCACCTTGGTTATAGGGAGAAGTGTCTCCGGATGTGCCATGAAGCTGCCTGATAGTCAGCCTATGCACCCGTCGCCAAGCCTAGATGCGCTACACACTTTGTTATGCGTTCCAGCATCGACCGCGGTTCGAGGATGAAGGTAGGAAGCGTGACGCGGCTCAAGTCGGCGCCGGGTCGCAGTTGGGATATGATGTGGGAGAGCATGCTGCCCTGCTCGGAATCCATGACGGTCTCGTCCTCCTTGGTCGTCTCGTCGCCGCCCTCGTGTCGTCGTGTCTCGTCTATGGAAGACCCGCGGCTACCTAAACATTCAAACTTGCATCAGCTTCGGTACGGCCGGAATTCGGGAGATGACGCACTGGTGAGCGACGACCGCCGGTGTTTGGAGACTATAGGTAGGTGCGGCATGGTGAGTACAGGCCGCAGAGGGAGAGAAAGGGAAAAGTGGTGGAGGTGAGGCGGGCAGAAGCAGGCAGCGAAGTACCGGCAGAGGATGTCTTGGTGCTTCGGGTGCCGGCGAGGGTGAGCTTAGTCGCAGCAATGACGATGGGGGCTTCACAAAAACTAGCGACCCCGCGCGTTGGACCTGTTTAGCAGCAAACTGTAAACATCAACAACACTGTACCGTGGAAGGGCGTGCAGTGAGGGGTCCAGGGCGCCAGGCGACACAGCATGCAGTCTTTTGAGCATCCAGCTGACTGGACCTAATATAGCGATCGCCAGGCTGTGTTCTGCAGGCCTGCTGCCCCATGCCCCGCAGTCGGCACATGCCAAAGCGCCGCGATACGAAGTACGCGACACGCGCATGCGGCACGGCTCGGAGCACGACTATTCTTCCGAGTATCCAGGACCTGCGATTCCAGGAACAGTGCCACCAGATACAGTGGGGGCCGGCCCGGATGTCGCGCGATGATAATCTTGAATGCTACGCGTCCGCATTCCGGGAGAACCGGGCGCGAGAAGGATTCATGACGATGACGTCGCTATCAAGGGGTGCACATCGCCAAAGATCTGACAAGAAACCTTAGATTCGATTACTATCAGACATTCATGACTGTCGTCTAGTCCAGCACACTCTCGCCGGCCCTGCTTGCATCCTTCGCGCCCTGGTCCTGAGTCCGCTGGATTTGCTCCTTGACCCTCTGGACCTGTGCATCATCCTTGGCTATAACCGTCACTCCAACCTTCTCGTACTCCTTGTGGACCTCTTCCATTGCTGACGGATCGACTGCCCTTGTCGCATCGCCGACTACCCATGTTTTGAAGCCTTCCTTCTGTGCATCAATCGCAGTGTACTTGACGCAGTAGTCGCCTGCGAGACCGACGACAAAGACGTCGGTGATTTCGGCCTTGCGCAATGTCTCTGCAAGATCGCTCTTGGCCACAGATGGGCGCTTGAACGGATCCGCGAACGCAGAGTACATCTCCACGCGCTTGTCCTGGCCCTTCTCGACTATGTGGTCCACCCTGCTGACGTCCAGCTCTGGCAGCAGCTCAGAGCCTTTCGTGCCCTGCACGCAGTGGTCTGGCCATAGCCGCGTTTCCTGCGTCTCGTCTGGATTGTTCGGGTTCTTGATGGTGAAGGTGGATTCGAAAGGCTTGTTGTTCGGCGGAGAGTGGTTCGAGGCGAAGGAGACGTGGTCTTGGGGATGGAAGTCTTTCGTCGCGACTTTGAGAGCAAAAGGATATGTGAGGAACTCGTTGATGGTCGGGACGATGTCGCGTCCACCTGTTACTGCGAGCGCCCCGTTCTAAGCTTGTTAATTGGGAGGCAGCCATGCAAATGGTGGGTGCTTACTGGCGGGCAGAAGTCTTCCTGTACGTCGACGATGACGAGCGCTGGTTTGAAAGACATGCTGGGTAAGTAACCAAAATTATCAAATTAGTGCGTTAGTGGGTGAAGATGTCTAGAGTGGTCCCAAGGTTGAGAGTAGAGTTCCGAAGGCTGTAAGGTAGAGCAGTCGTGCGTAGCACCGTCTTATAAATAATCACCAATGTCTAAGATCAATGCAGCGTAGGTCATGATGCTGCAGGTGCATGGCGTAAGCCGTAGAAACGAGCCGTTGATGAATCAACGATCGCAGACCACGAGGCAGAAGCTTGCCAGCAGCGTCACCAGCGTTCTGTGGCTTGCCTTACCTAATCACAGCGCCAAGCCGTCTGCCGTCGGCTCGTCAATTCACGACTGACGAACATCACCAGCTCGATAACCACGCCCACCCTCTCCACTCCACCCCAATCGTCCCGCCATGTTCGTCCAGCGCTCTGCTATCGCCGCAGCAAGGCGTGTGGCCCCCCGCGCCATTGCGACCCGCCGCACCTTCACCACCACCTTTGCCCGCTGTATGTTTCGCGAGGAGCTATCGTACGATGTGCCATTGACACTATAGCAGGGGAGTCCACCGAGAGCAAGGAGGCCAAGGAGAGCAACATTGCGCAGAAGGAGACCGGTCACTCGGCCAACTCCCCCAGCGTCCTCGCAGGCTTCAAGAAGCTCGACCGTATGTTGCGCCCGCACTTCGTCATCCGCATTGCCGCGGCTACGATAGGCCAAAACCATCAATTGCTGACGAGGTCACTTCTGTAGAAATCAAGACCGAGGAGGACCTTCTGCCCCCTGGTGCGCAGCCCGGTACCGTTCCCACCGATGCCGAGCAGGCGACCGGTCTTGAGCGTCTCGAAATTCT